TCGATCTGCCTGTTCTGTTCCCCACTCTGTTTCTGGTGAATCTTCTCACAGCTCCTGCACCTCTGGCCTGTACCCCAGTTCTGTATGCATAAATAAATAAATCTTTAAAACAAATTTCACAGGGTGGGAGCAAGCATGCTTAAAAAAGACACTTCCCAGCACGTACGACTGGGAAGCAGGAAGATGTCTCCCATTCTGGAGGGACACGTGATGTGCCCCGCTGGGATGCGCTGGCAGGCAGCCCCTGCCGACCACCACCTGCTCCCTCCCACGGGAAAGGCACACATGGAGCAGCATCAGTTGGTCTCAAGCCATAGGAGCAACTCATCCTGAAGTCCGATGACTTCTTTACCAAGACGGAGCTGGCAATTCTCATGAAGCAGAAGGGATGGTCACGCTGCTCCAATTAAAAATTCCACGGAAATTCTATTCCGCTGCAAAGTTTTGCTTGACCAGCTTAACCACATGCTGACGTGGAGATAAGTGTGGACACCCCTAGCAGGGGGGCCTGCTGGTAGCAACTGAGGACAGGGAGGAAGGAGGAAAGAGAGGAAGATGTTTGGGAAACTCAGAAAGCCAGCTGATGGGTGCAGGACATTATATGGAGATAGTGTGAGGAGCTGGAGGTGAGAAGGGGTGAGGCGGTGGGGGGGGGCGGATGTTAACAAGGGGACACTGTTCAGCACTTGGGGATGCTTGGCCAGTGGTACATATTATTGTCTGCTTCTCACATTAACCCTGCAAGACTGGGACCACTATTTGCATTTACAGATTAGGGAAGTGACGCTTAGAAGGGACTGAGTCATGGTTGAACACAGGCCTCTCCTCTGGCTGTGAAGACCACATTCCTTCTGGGCCATTTCTGCTGTGGAAAGGGAGAGAGGGGGCAGAGCAAACTGGGCACAGAGAGGTCAGGCAGCATAGCCAAGGTCACACAGCTAGTGGACAGAGCTGGATTAGGAAGCCAGGCAGTCTGCCTCTAGAGGGTAAATTCTGAACCATCTCTCTCTCTCCTGCCTTCGGATAAGTGAATGAAGCATCCATGACAAGCCAGAGAGTTGTCCAGGCTGAGAGCCCTGGGTCTGGGACACACCTGCCAGCTGATGTCTGTCACCCTTCCTGGAGACCCTCCCTCCTTTTTTCCACCAGGGGTCAGGAGAGCGAATGGGGAATAAAAAAACAAAGGCAGAGACCCCCAGAAGGAGGTGAGAAGAACTCATCAAACGCCGGATAAATGTCCCACTGTGTAGCACCACAGTGCCACACAGACTTGATCAAAGAAATGGAAAGGAACCAGAAGTGTCCTCAAGGTCTCTCAGCCAGAGCAAGGGTAAAACAGGTGTTAAAACATTGGGAGAGGGCCCTCCCTGGTGGCGCAGCGTGTTAAAGCACAGCACTAAGAAGCTTAAGCCACTTCCGCATGAGTTCGATTCCTGCCTGCCCCACATGGCGTGGCAGACCTCTCCTGACCCGCCCTCTGCTTCCCTCAGCAGTGTACTTTGTCGATCTGCCTGTCCTGCTCCCCACTCTGTCTCTGGTGAAGCCTCTCACCCTCCACATCTCTGGCCTGTACCCCAGTTCTATATGAATAAATAATGCTTAAAAAAAAAACATTGGGAGAAGAGAACTGGGGAGACCTAGTGGATCTAGAGAGAAGGTGGCCAAGGGTGTGATTCCCACGGGAGAAAGTTGGGTGGTTGCTGACCCCTTGCCATCGAACTCTAAGACCCGAGAAAGCCAAAGCCCCAGGGCCAGCCCAGCCTGACCCCAGAAGCCTGCACATAGTAAACTGAGCGTGCAGGGCTGGTGGACGCACCTTTCCTGGTGGGAAACCTGGGCCAGGTGGCCTGGGACATGAGCCTCTGTCCACTCCCTGCTGCACCTTGGCCTGATCACGGGCCTGATCACAGACCCTGGCTTCAGCCTGTCGCTGACCTGCTGATTCTTCCCCTTGGTTGCTGGGACTCCCAAGAAGGCCTGAACAGGAGCTAACTAATTGCTTGAGACAGTTTTGGCCCCGATGCTTTGACAAAACTCAGGGAGGAGATGGTGGAGACATATGTCTGGCCACAGGGCTGTTTACAAGTCACGGCGATCTCAGCCTTGATGACAGATGGCTGCAGCAGGGATATGTGGAGGGTCCCGCAGCGCACATCCCACTCCCAGGGAACATGCACACACAATCACACACGTGCACACACAATCACACACGTGCACACACACTGGCACTCTGTTCATTGCACAGGGGCATGTGAGCAGGCTGGCATTGAGCCCCTAATTAGCAAAGCTTGGGTGGTGAGCTGGAGACATGTCCACTCCCCCAGAGCAGTGGAAAGAATGTGGGTGCTGGGGCAGTGACACCCACTTGTAACTCCTGACTCCACTCTGACTAGCTATGTCACCTGGGCCCATTTCTTAATCTCTGCCAGGTTTTTTTCAACTGTCGAGGTGGGTGGGGGGGACAAAAACCGTTTGTGGCTTGTTGTGAGGCTTGACTTGACTAAACAAGAAACAGCACAGCACAATGAGGGCATGGTCCCTGTAGAAACTCCCCGGGCTTAGCTCCCCTTCTTCACTCCCTGGGCCCCCCTTTTCCTTCTTCCCTCCCTCTCTTCCTCTCTTTCTTCCAGCATCCCTCTGCAACACTGAACAGAAGCTAGCAAGCTGTCTGGACCCCTCACTGGCTGGGTGGATGTGGCAAAGTACTCAACCTCTCTCGCTATTGGTAAAATGGGTTGACATCTCCATTCTTATGAGCACTAAACAAGCATGCAAGACTCTGAGCACGGGGCTGTCACCTACTGGTAACAATATCCTAATGTCTGTTGGTCTGGTTTTCCTTGGGGAAGTCCTATGGACCTGCCCAGTGATTATGGAAACTCCCTCCCAAGAGGAACACGCCTACATTCAATGTGGGCATCTTGTCACCACATAGTAAGGAGGAGCGGGGTCTGGCCAGATCCCCGACTCAGACAGGTGCCACTCCAGCCACTGTCACCATCCTCCCTGGGGCTCTCCAGACCCAAGATGCCATGTATGACCCACACCCCAGCTGGGGTAGGGAGGGTGCTGGCTTGAGCTGAGGCACAATTTCCGGGAGGCTTGGAGTCCCTTGGAAGGATCTTTCAGTACATCCCTGAGCCAGAGACACTGCTTTGTTTCAGCTCAAAAACTGTAATTCTGAACACCCCATTTCTTTAGGGCCGGACACTGGGCGTCTCACCCAGAGTCCCAGGGAGTAGGGGCCCCACCCCAGCCCAGCTGTTCCCCAAGCCAGGGTCCTCTAGTGTTGAAATGCTCATGCCAAGTGCACACAAAGAGGCGTGGGAAGCTGATTATAGTGCCAGAAGCAGGGGTCAGGGGTCACAGTGGGGTGGCAGGCCCAGGTTATCTGCAGTATGGAGCGAGTGACACCAGCTTCATAGACCTACACCTGGAATTCTCCTGGTGGGCAAGGGCCACGAAAGAACTGAGGCAGGCCAAAGCTTGCTTTCTATTGAGGGTTTCAAAGAAATTTCTATGCATCTATATAAACCTCCATTGCCTCAAAGATCAATTTCCTCCCCTAACTCCTTCCACAAACCCATTCTTAGTAGGCACACTCATCACGCATGGAATTCACCCCATTATTTCACTAAGAAGTTGCTGTTTTCAATAAGTTATTCCTTGCACCCATTTTGTGTAGTTTTGCTTACTACACATGGGCTTTTGTCCTCCAAAGAACTATACAGAACAAGCCTATGAAACAACCCTACCTATCAACCCCAATCTTCCTGAAGGATGTTGTCCTTCATCACATAGACTCATGAAACACATCCCTGGGTGCACGCTCCTGGTTGTGAAATTCTGGCCCAGAACCCTGGTTTTTGTCATCTTTAGGCAGGCACAGGCCTCCCCAGAATTATTAGGGAGATCCTTGGTCAGCTGTGATTCAGACACATTGTGGTTTGAATCCTAGTTCCTCCTGTCCTAGCTGTGTGACCTTAGAAAATTCCTCAGCCTCTCTGAGCTACATTTTCCTTATCCCTCAAAAGGTGGTAAGTATCCTTAGCTTGCAGGTGGCTGTGGCAACAAAATCAGATAAAGCTGGTAAAGATCCCAGTATAATATAAAAGCTTAGGAACTGGCAGCTGTTACTGTTTATAAGAGGAAAGACGCAGTATTCCTTGATGGGGTAGAGCAAGAGAATCAGCTCCCTCTGGACATGCAGGGAGGGGCCTGGGCTCTGAGGTGAACTCATCCTATGCCAGGCAAATGGAAAGGCGATATCATGGCTAACAGCTGGAGCCCACCGCTGCGGGCTCTGCTGCCCCAGCAAAGGGACCTGGGGTTGACACATCTAGAGCCATACCAGATGGGACAGTGGCCAACTTTCCAGTCAACCCAGATGTCTTCCTAAGATGAAGACTCAAAAATGTGGTCTCAATCAAAGTGGCTTTTGAGTGCCGTGTGCTCTCCAGATCCTGTCAGGGGCACTTTGGAAGCTCTGAGCCGGGACCCCCAAGGGGACAGGAAGGCATGGCTCAGACAGTCCTAGAAGGTCAGCAGCATCTGCCACCTCGAATGATGGCAGAAGGGGGAGCCAGTACTGGCCCAGATTGATTCTCTGATCCATCTCTCTGAGAAAGAGACTCTGGGGAACTTTTCTGGAATAAAAGGGATTTGTCTGTGCCATGTAACTGAGAGTCCAAAGCAGTCTTTTCCTATGTCAGAAATAGCAACATTCCACAAAGACCTTCTTTGACAGGCCAGCATGGAGCTTCACAAGCCAAAGGTGATTTAGGGGAAGCCATGAAATTATACGGCTCCCCAGCTGCTGGCTTCATTACTCCCCTCGCCCCTTAACTCCATTGGACCACCTCACTAGGAATGAAAAAGTTCTTCCTGAGTGGCCCAGCCTTAGTTTAATCAGAAAGCAAATAGAGGCTCAGAGGAGCAAAATCCCGGGGTCTAAGAATGTTCTAGAACCACAAAGTCCTGTCTTGCCTGCCAGTAGCTTGCTTGTCATACCTACTTAAAGAAAGATCTCCTAGCGTGGCTCCAGGCCCAGGCATGGAGTTAGGTGTCTGGCACCCTGTCAACATAAACAAGGTCCCCCAGCACCTTGCCCCTTCTCTATACAATACCCAGCTGCACTTTAATGTGTTTTAAATGTTTACGTTGCCCTGGTCTTTGTTATTTCTTGCTCGGTGTGCAGGAATGCTTGACATTCCAGGCTCTGCAGCCTGGAGCCCAGCTTGCTGAGATGTGCTAAACACGGGGGTGGGTGGTGGCAGAGATGCCACTGGGGACAGGGAGGGAGCCAAGGTTCAGCCTCGGGTATGCTCTGCTCCAGGAAATGTTGCTCACTCTTGGTCTCACCTGCATATGCAATTTTCTTGCTAAGCTCTTCTCCATCTCTTCAACTCGCTTACTAAATAATTCTACAGATCTCATCCCGGATGTCACCGCCTATAAGATGCACCAGCCTGAGCTCGGATTCCCCTACCCCACAGTGTATAATGAGTGGGTTTTGTGCTGCAGGAAAATCCGCACCTAAGGGAATCAGCGGCATCCTAGATTTGTGTTTTTGAAAGGACCATTTTGAACAAATGGAAGGCACCCTTTTCTCTAATTTGCACACAGGGGCTACAGGACCCATCAGTGGCCCCCGTTCTGCTATCTGTGTCCTCACGGTGTTTAGCACTGGTCTAATCATTGGCACTTCCTCTGATGCCCACTATGTCTATGCCCTCCTGCTTAACCCCCAAACTCAAAACTATATGTAGCAGAGGAGAGACACGATTTCTACCTCACTCTCCACTTTCGTCCAGGGCCTGCAACCTAGGGCACTTCACAGGGTGCCTCATCCCTGTACCTACTTGCTGACTGAGCAGAATGTGGGGTAGTCCCTAGGGTGGTGGACAAGGAAGGAAATCAAGAAAAGAAGTGGAAAACACCCCTTGCCTACAGGGGGCGCTGCTGAACAGCTTACTCCTCTCGGTGGGGCAGTGGGTTCTTAGCTTTTCCCTCTTGGAAGGGATACTTTCTGATGATAACAGCCAAGCACATGCATCATCTCATCTACCCTCCAGAGTGCCAGCACCTTGTGAAGCTGGCACTCTTACTGCCTTCGCAGAGAGAGGTCGGGGACAGAGCTTAGACTGGTACCTGCTCTGTATATACACTCAAGCCTGGAAGTTAATGCCAGCTTGCTGCTCCACCAAAATTCTACCACACTATGAAGTTGTCCACACTTAGTTTTAGTTTGGAACCTGTGGTCACCGATCCACAACCGAGTCTGAAGTTAGGAATAGCCCTGCCCCCTTCCACTTTTAGGTCCCGTGCCAGGCCCCCCACAAAGTCTATTCACTAAGTAGACTGTTGACAGACAAAGGCAATACATGCCAGGCCCAGGGCCATGAGTGAGGCCTTGGGAGAGACAGTGGAGAGGGCTGAAGCCACACTCAGGCTCCGGGCCTCATCATCCACCTGCCAGCCCTAAGATCAATGCCTACGAGACCAGCACGAACTGGCACCAGGCTCACTCAGGAGGGCACACACGAGGTGCCCCCTTTAACCAGGTATTCTATTCATTTGCCGAGTGGGTGAATGAATGACAAGGTGTTAGCTTTTTTCCCAACAAGAGGACAGGGCCCTGAGTTTCCCATTTTCCAAGGCTGAAGACATTCTGGGACACTCTGATTCAAAGACTGGAAGGCAGGAAAGATTTGGTGAGGAGAGAGGAGGCAGCTTAAGAGCCTCTCCAAGGAGAGATGAAGGACAGGCTGAATCACCAAATCGAGACTTCTGGGTCCCTGTCCCTGGGCAGGGAGTACGTGGAAGGGAGTATGGCTGGGATCCCT